TAATCGACACCCTGTGGGAGGAGCCGTCTGAGTTTGAGATCCTGGCAGTCTTTTTTGTCCTGGCCATCATGCTCTGCATAGACACAGATACAGTCGGACTTTGTATAAAGGGCAAAGATGGGTCCAAAAAAGGGCAGGCGGCACTCCTAGTCCTAGATTCGGCCGTCCCCGGTGACCGGCTGATCACTAACCTAGGTCGTGTCGTGTGCTTCCGTGGTGTCATTTCAAAAAAGAATAAAGTAAAGAGAAAATTAAGAGTAAGAGAACCGACGGTTACCTGAACGAGTGACGTTGATGGAGTTCTGAAAATCCTGTGTAGTCGGCTTGTCAGAGCAGGCGGTAGGCAGAAAGGGTCCAAAATGTCAGAGCAAGTTCAGGGGTCCGAATGTTCTCTCACAAAGTTCTCAAGTGTGAAAATGACTGAAGTCAACACTCCTTTATATAGGCAAAGTGAGAAGGCGAAGGGTCACTTCCAGAATTCATAATTTGGGCGGGAGAATCTCTCGGCCTTTCGCCGAGTGACACCTGTAGCAGGCCGTCGCCTGTTACAGTGCGACACCTGTCACAGGTGACACGTGACCAGTCACGTGCCACCTGTGAGGGGCAAATGATTAGGGGATTTTGCTCCCACCAATCACCATCTGACAAGTGGACCAATCAGGTTCCGCCATGTGTCCGTCACATGGGCCAATAGGAGCCTGCCACGTGTCAAGCAATGATCCGTCCACCTTGGACCAATTACGACACGACACGTGTCCTTCCCATGACACCTGGGATAACCGGTCACCTAGGCCCAACTTCCGAGGGAAGCCCAATCAGCCCAAGGTTAACCTAAACCTAGATTGGCACGTTTCCCGAGGTTATAAATACCTCCCTTAATCCTCATTAAGGGGGATTACATGCAGATCACGCGAACAACGCAGATTACACACATTAAACACTCTCACCTAGAGAGACCCAATCACTTTAATTTCCGCATTAATTACTCCTTAATCAAGTACTAACTTGACCGTTGGAGGCGGAGCTCCCATCACCAGGAGTCTCCGTTGTTTTGCAGGTACAGGCGTCCGGTTCCAGTCTCGGAATTGTAACTCTCCCGCAGGACATCAGAAAACCCCGAAACAGAAGATATCAATCAATGAACATGAAATATATACATAAATAACTTTTGAAGCTATTAATACGTGATTTATCATATATCCATATTAAAAAAGACATATATTGAAACTCAAAACTGATCCGAGCATGAAATATTTTAAGAAGATCACCAAAATATTAACATTTATCAAAATTCTAATGATCGTATATTAATATGTGAAAACCATATACATTTATGTGATTGAACATCTACCAAAATACAAATGAACATTCATCAAAATAATATTCCACTATAAACTAGGAAAAAGAATGAATATATATTATGACTATGTAGTAATATATAATTGAACATTTATATTAATGATTTTTTTTTGTGAATGATTGTTTACTAATATATAAATGAACATTCATTAAAAAAAAAAATTAAAAACCCATTACGAACTAATTTAATTGATGCTTACTTTTCTCCAAATTCTTTGATGTTTTCTCTGAAACTATTTCCTTCGTACCGCAAAAAAAAAAAAAAAAAAAAAAAAAAAAAAAAAAAAAAAAAAATCTTCATATACTCAAAAATCAAAATGCACTTGTTCAGATCACTAGTTTTTAAACGAAAATTATTAAAAATTACTTAAATGCAATAGTTCATACTTTTTTCCATGTTATATGCTTTGATGATATTCCTGTAACACAATTGCAGCAAAAAAAAATATTAACACTAGAGTTTATATACTCTTTTTCAAACTAAATATGTATACAATCACTTACTTCTTTGAATTTCGACCTTGATTGGTTGAATTCTATAGTAATTGAACAATTCTTTTGATAATTTGTCACAATTTTGTAGAAATTTTTGTATTTTTAAATGCAAAAAATTGGTTTAGAGAGATAAAATACAGAAAATGGGTTAGGAGAGAGAAAAAAGATATGAGAAAGGTGGTTTGATTTTTATTTTTTTTTTAATTTATATAGGGGGGGGGGGGAGGGTTAAAATTAATACAATTACTAATCTTACGGAAGGGGTGTTAAATGAAACTTTGCGTTTAGGGAGGGGTGTAGGGGAATATGCCTAACTAGTGTAGGGTTAAAATTAATACAATTACTAATCTTACGGAAGGGGTGTTAAATGAAACTCTGCGTTTAGGGAGGGGTGTAGGGGAATATGTCTAAGTAGTGTCTAGCCATATATAATTAAAAAAGACAGGTTACTAGTTTATTATTGGACTCAAAATGATCAACCTACAACAGCTTCAATCTTAGCCCAAACTTTGTATACCATGTATCAGCCCAATAATTAAGGATATGGATGAAGGGGAGGGCCACATATAGAATAGCCTAATTTTGAAATAACTTAGGTCTTGTTTGATTGACAACATATAATTGCGAAAGTCAAAATTTATGAGATTTAATTAGTTGGATAGTTGTTTGGCTAACACAAAAAACAAAATTAGAATAATCAATTAAAATTTTCACTTCTGTGATGGAGATAAGTTAAGGAAATTCCTTCACTGAGATTTTTTTAATAAAAATTATTAAATAAATAAATTACACATTAATCAGAATACATTAGCGCCGCAATGCATTATTTATCAATCTAGCATAGTTAATAGCTAAGTATAATTTTTTTTTTTATTTTTTTTTCCATGTGTAATCACGTAGAGGTTCACATATAATCGTTTTAGTTTATCATAACGTATTGTTGATTGATATTCCGTACAAGAATAAACAATTTCTAGTTGTTAAAGGTGAATTGTTAATGCAAGTAAGTCGAATATTTGCTCTTCTATTAATACGCATTATGTGCTTTGGGGTTAATGTCATGCTAACAAAACTTTGAAATAAAGTAATTACGGAGAAAATGATTGTAATAACGTTAACTTATTCAATGTTTTTAGGTTGAAGCTGTTAGGTTATTGACTTTTAATTTAGAATTTGAATTTGAAATCTGAAACTTTGTTGGAGAGGAGTTCTATTGTAAGTAGATTATCTTTAGATAACGAAATAGAACTCGTATTATGGTTGATTGGTTGGAAGGTATATCTTTTATCTTTATTTAAAGATTATAGTATTTACGTAATTTAATGATTTTTTTAATTTTTTGATAAATATGCCAATATTATAAATCAAAATTGAATATATGAACTATTTAAATTTTGATCATAATTACATGTTCAAACTATTAATATAAATGAAACATTTTTTCAAAAGTCTAGAATTAAAAACAAATTAACTTTTAGTTTGATTGAGTAAATTGAGTTGTAAAATGGTCCAATTTTCTGTTAAAGAGAGGATACATCCTGGAAACAACAAAGCAAAAAAGGATTATTATTATTAACTCAATGACAATGAGAGAGAATGAAGACCGCTTTGGCCGTTATCAAATTTTTTTAAAATTGGAACAAAATATTTGGTACCAAACGGTCACATGGCCCAAAGTCCTTATCACATGTCCTTTGCAAATTGTTCTGGCTATTCTTTGCCTTTTTCTTTTTTGGACACCAAATATTATATAACCTTGATATCAATTAATTTAATTCTTAAAAATGACCTCCAAACAAACGTGACTAATTTCGAAATTTTATGTTTAGTTTAAGGTTTTAGGATGATAAATTCGTATTTTGATAACTAGAGTTAAAGTCGTATAAAAGAAACAAATAACGATGATAATGACTTTAATTGATTGATGAGCTTAAGCTTGATTTAAGATTAGTAAATAAGATCAAATTAATAAAGTTTGCTAAACATATTTTATAAATATATCCCAAAAAAAAAAATTGGATAAACTCCTCGCTTATAATTAGAAGTACGTATTACTTACATTCTTGGTTTATCTTTGGATTTACAATAGTAATAGAACCAATGAAATAAGAGAGTATTATATTTTTCTAGAATATTATCATTTGGCAATACTTTAGAAAACCATGTTAAAATTATAGATATGATTTAACAAACTTATCAACATAAAAGCAATAATATACACATTTTGGAATTGGGTAGTATCCCTCTAAGATAATAAATTTATTTTATTAAAGGGTATATATCCCACAAAGTCCAATAATATGTTTATGAGTTGTATTAGAAATTTAGAATTTAGTGAATAAGTAACCGATTGCTTCACTGGCAATGGGAAGCCAAAACTATTTGAAATTCTTCTTTTAAGCACCTAGATAATTTTCTGAATAATGATAACTGATAAGTGACATCTTTGTTTTTGAATTCAATAAATGGTTAGGTCATGAAATAATGATATGAATTCTAAATTAATTTTGAAAGTGTATCTGGCAACAACAATATATTTGATATAAGTAATTACACCAAGTAAATAATCGATATTTATAATGAAGAAAAAGGTTGTCAAAAGTGTTGGAATCAAGAGAAACAAAAATGAAAATATCAATATCATATACGTCAAAAATTAATGATATACAAGAATACAACTTTATATAAAATGTTCAAATTTACAAGCAATCAATTTAAGTTCTCAAAATACAACAAGTGAAAGTTGTTAGAACAATTTTTCCTGTTTCAATTCGAGTCACATCTAAATGGGTCTAATAGGTCATAAATTATCGATTGATTGAAACACCGAAAAAAGAAAAATCTCTAATTCCCTTAGAAAAAAACCTACTACTAATAGAAAGAAATTTATAGCACTTTAAATAATTGTAAGTTTGTAACCCTATGAAAGAGGAATGGACCTCCACCAATTTCTCTCCTAATGCCTCTCTCAACCCTCCAAAAAATAAAAAATCAAAATTTTTTTTTTATTAAAAAAAAACAGCAAAAAAATGTAAAATAAAAACTGGAAAACGAAAAAATAATCTGAAATTAGTGGGGTCCCAGTAAAAAAGCCGACACAAGAGACAATTATAAGACCCCTCCTTCTACCCCCAGCACATGCTGCTCTGCCTCTTCATTGACGCATTTCATCAAACACTTTGTGTGCTCTCTCTCGTTCTCTCTTTCCTCCATTCTTTCTCTCTCTACAACCTCTCTCTCTCTAATCCACTCTCCACCCTTTATTTTTAAGGAGAGAGAGGGGCTGTAGAGATCCCTGCATTATTATTTTTCGTGCACCAGAGATTATTAGCCAAAGATTAATTTTTTTTTATAAAAGTTAGGAAAAAAAAAAACAGTTGAACAACAATGGAGGTTGCAAAGGCTTCGTTCATTGTATTGGTTGTTTTCTCTCTCATCTTTGCAATGGCTCAGGCTCAAGCTGCGGGTCCCGCACCTGCTCCTACCAGTGACGGTAAGTTTTCATATTTTTTTTTAATAATTTTTTTTTTTTTTTGTTTAAAATAATGTGATTATTTCGTTGAAATTATTGAACTTTGATCGAAATTATGAGATGGGTATGTTGGTTTTCTGCATTTCCAATAACTATGGTGAAAATGCAAAAAATGGGTTGTTGTCAGATCCAAGAATTTTTGTTGTTTTTGAAACTGGGGTTTTTCGTTGGGAAATTTCATCAAAAACCTAACATTCATTCGTAAAAAACAAGAATGTATTTATGTTCTGCATTTTATTAGGATTGCGCATTTTGTAGATCTATGTCATTGTAGACAAAACTGGTGGAAACGAATCTGGTTACCCAGAATTTTATATATTAGAACGAAAGTTTTGATTTTTTTTTATTTTTTTTTTTTTGCCCCCTGTAAATTCAATGCATTGATTGTTTAACCATTATAAAAGGGTATATTATTGAAGTTTTAGATTTGTTCCCAAAATTTGAACAAATACTACGAGTATTAATTATTGCATTTTATTAGCCAAGGTTTCGGCTATTAAGGGTTTGGTGATTATATTAAATTTCAATAATTTTGAGAAATTAATAGAAAAAAAAAGGTTTTAAATTTAAGCAATGGTATTATTTGTGGTTTTGTTTTTCCTGGATAGACGAGATTAAAGAGAAAAATGATGTAGACGAGATTTAATCCGGAGCTTAGACATTTTATATGATTGAAGTATGATGGAAATTAGAATAGTAGCAGATGGAATGTTTGTCAAAGGTGGTTGATTTAGATTTAGATAAGATTTACCTTCCTCCACTTCTTTTCCTAATAAATTAGTATCATAATGAAAATGATATCCAAGATTTTACAATGTGCTTGCAATTTCTTTTGGTACTAATAAAATCTTGGTATATCATAGTTGAAATTGACACACTAGTTAGAATCATCACCCTCAACCACTTCATCGTGTATGAATTAATAATAGGTAGCCTAGTAGGCGATTACTCGTATATTATGAGCACACAGTTGACTTGTGTTGTTCAATTGATACCTTTCAGGGACAAGCATTGATCAAGGGATAGCATACGCGTTGATGCTCGTCGCCTTGGCGCTTACTTACCTCATCCATTGAACAAAAATGTGCAACAATGGAGGCATCATCATCAGTAACATCACCTTGAGCACTAAAAATGACGAACGTGCTCGTGATTTTTGGTGTATTTTTTCTTTCAAAAGATAAAAACGTGAGAGTGGGATTAGTGTAACTATTCCCAATTTGTTTAATTGATGCTTATAGAGGGTATGATTGATTGTGATTGACTAGGAGATGTATTTGAGCCCTTTTAGACATGGTGGTGTAACATCTAATTTGTATTAGATGGGGTGATTATGAGTTCATTTGCACATAAATTTATCTCATCTAATACAGCTATGGCCTCTATCTCGTAATCTCGTTCCTTCGGTTTCACAACCCCCCCCCCCTCCCCCTACCCTCATTTGGTATTCTGAATACATTTTGCTTGCATTTGTAGTTCACGATCATTTGAGATTTTACCGACTAAACTAGTTGAGACTGCAATCATCGTGTTTTTAAAAAAACGAAGCCTTTTGGTGTATTTGTGTGTTGTTCTTGTGGGAGTATTCCATATCAAACAGATGGAGACAGACATAAAGTACCTTGTGTACTTATTGACAAGAAGGGAGCTGAGGGTGATTTGTGTGCACCAACCTACCATTAATTGGTCTTATTAGAACGAAAGTTGTTCCGTAAAAACGAAAATTCCGTACTTTATAAAGTTATAAAATCCATTCTAAGTTTCCAGCACTTAAAGAGTGAATATCAATATATCATGACATTTGATTGTCATGACCTTGACTATTTACTTCACTAATCTTAATCTTGTAAAGCATTTTTTGATAATCCACACAATATTTTGTTAATCTTTAAACTTTTGGTGCTATCTCAAAGAAACGTGAAAATTGATACGAGTATAACATAATCTTGCTAGTAACTAGAATTATCATTTCACTATTCTTTTTTAAAAAAAAAAAAAAAAAAAAAATGCTCAAGACCTGTTCATATTTACTTAATTTCAGTTCAGTTTAGCTCCAATCTTCTCAGCTCAGTTCAGTTCAGCTCCTAATTTCTTCTCTCATGAAATGAAAATATGAACAGGCGTTAGTACTTTTTATAAATAATAATGCCTACTAACACATGTATTAGTACGACTGGAGGTAGTAAATTGGTCCTTTGATTTAGGTCAATTCATGCCGTCTTTGAATGGTGACTCATGAATTATTTTATATTTAAAATTGATTGTCAATTTTAATGAGAGGCATCAGGCGTGAACTAAGCCTATTTAACACCAATAGAAAAATAAGACTATTATGATTAAGCAAATAAGCACAAAAGGTAATTACTCCGTACTAATTACTTAATTAGTGAGGTAAGAGAAGCAATACCTCATCGCTGGCGTCTGGCGAATCTTAACTTAGTCTTCAACATGCATGCTCTTCCATTCTAAATCTACAATATTTTTTTTTTTTTTAATGAGTATTACGTTTGTCAATATATCAATGTCATTGTTTTTTTTTTTGAATAATGTCAAAAGTTTAAGATTTAAGAAATTACAACAGTTATAGTTTTCATCTATGATGAGAAGGAATTTATTTAATAAACAGCTACCAAAAAAAAAAGAAAAGAAAAAAAATCTACAATAATTGCCTTGTTAAGACTGTATTATTAGTTTCCTAAAATAAATTTGTACTCTACACTTGAGTAACTTTAACTATTTTTAACCTGATGTCAAAAAAAAAAAAAAGAAAATACGAAGTATGAGTACTACTTATAATTGATGGACCAACGTTGTGTCCCATGAACACAATGTAGGGTCTATCAAATCAGCCACATTATCGCACAGAACAAACATCAGGGCATGAAAAGACCATGCTAGATGATGCAGGATGTTGGTGCTGCATTATTGCATACAAGGGGACCCAAACCACATGCGCTTACGCGAATGAAAATTCATCACCCATACAAACCCCCTTGCTTCTCATTTGAATCACCCATAACAAAACCCGAACTACAAGCATCTTGCGAAAAGAATGATGTAACCCAAATTGGTATACATATCAGCAAAAACAAAAGGTGAGAAAACAAAATGTACAAGGAAAACCGAGAAAACTCTCAGCAAAAATTTATCATTACTTTGGGATATACTGTACTTGACAAAATTTTTTTGCTCAACCTTGAAAACAAACCTGTTAAGTAACCTGACATAATCTATACCTGTGCTTGAGTAACCTCCAAAATTATATTTCAAGGTCCGAACTTTTGTTCTTTGCTTTATTTATGTAGCTTTGAAGACTGTATTCTCTGAAGCCAAGTAACCAAAAACTGCATTCTTCATTGGATGAGCGATCTAATCCTAGTTATGTGAGCTGCCAATAACTTTAAGCAGGGGTTATCCTAGTGTTAACTATGTATTTCACAACTTCATAGAATGAAACCACAATCCCGACAGATGGCCCTGCACGAGCAATACGAGGGCTAGCCCCTGCAAAGAGACCCTTAATTCCTCCATCCCTGTTTCCATATTTGAGCATAACCATCAGTAACAGGGGCACACATAGGTTTATCATTGATAATAAAAAAAAAATGTAACAATCAAAAACACAAGAAAAAGCAAGAGTGAACGTTTCATTTCTCCATTGTAGTCACAATACAATTCACTCAGCAAAAGGAGGCCAACATTTCAACCACCCCCCCCCCCAAAAAAAAAAAAAAAAAAAAAAAAAAGAAGCCAAAACCGTAGGTAAAATTAAATTTTCTTCCTGCACATCTTCCATATTAAAGCTTCGTAAGACTAACATATGCATGTAGGAAAGAAAAATTTTCCACTAAACGCAATTTCATTTATCATATAGCCATGCTGGGAGATGTTTCACCGATGGTTAAAAATCTTGACTTACACATCTCTCTAAACCTAGTATCTTAAATAAATTTGTAAGGTTTTTTTAAAAAAAAAAAAAAAAAAAAAAAAAACTTTTAAAACTACATAGATCATAATAGCTGAATTTTCAAATCATTAGTATGATGGCAAAAACCCATTTATTTCAATAATTTTCAAGTTGATGATGATCAAGTTATCTAATTTATATTGACAAGGGGGGGAAAATCATATAATAAACGTAACCACAACTACTTCAAACAGTCTCATTGTCTAGTTCACCAGTTTACACCTGTCTACAGCAAAAATGTTTGCATTTCCTTTTTGAGAAACATTAGCAAAAAATATTTAGTTCTAACCAACATATCAGGCATCAAGCAATTTTCATGTTTGTCGAGATTCAAAAAAACAAAAAGTTTATCTAATTAAAGATAAAAGAGCTACCTCCAGATCTCCATTAGAGTCGTCCTAGTGGTCATCCTGAGTGCCTTGTGAGGATCCTTCTGGAATATCAACAATAACAGCGTTCAGAACTAAGTTCATAAAACTATCCAAACAAATTCTACGAGGATATAAAGATTATAAAAACTTTTTTTTAAAAAAATTATAATAAAATGGCTGGGACTTAGTATGAGAACAGCAAGTTAGTAAGCTAAATACAGAGAGAAAATGGTGGCCAAGGGGGATAGTTGTATTATCAAACAGGGTGTTAAACAATACAGTGCCTTCTTTCGAGAGGAAGGTGCTCTGCTCTCCACAACAAACTTTCACAATTAAGATGCATTCCCCTTAACCCAACCTACTATTAATACCCACCCTCAAAAAAAACTACTATTAATACCCAAAATTAAGCAAGCTAACACAGCTATAGCAGAGAAGCAAAATAACAAACTAACAACCAACTTATTCATGGATTACTATTACACCCTCCACCCCAAAACTGATTTCTAACAAACTTCCAGCTCAGCATTCTTCTGGTTACTTCTTGGACCTTCTAGCATAAGTAAAACGGATATCAGGTTTGGATTGATTCCTTGCATAAAACCTCTAATTTGGGCCCTTAATCACAAATTTATTTTAGTACAAATTATGGATTAACACCCTTCAATGTTTTCCATTCATCATATGTTAAAATTAGCATGAGAACCCACATTTACCCTCACACTCAGAAGTAATTCACTTCGTGTCAGATTTTCTCCCCTTTGAGGGAAGTAGCTACTTTTTTTGTTCTGCCCAAAATGGTTTTATTCCTACTAATGTGACTTATTACAATGATTTGGATATGACTATAATGATTTAAGGTGCATAGCAAAGGGCCAACTAATTAGAGAAAACATAAAAAAAAGATGTTGCCATAAAATTATGGAGACTAGATAGAAAGTGGTATCATAAAGGTGATATTATACTCAGTAACAGAAAAGCATTGGAGAGGATTTAGAAAGAGGCTAGACTATTAGAGATAAAATTATAGTAGGAGCTACAAGCCTACAATACCAAGAATTTTTTAATTTTTTAATTTTTTTTTTTTTAATTTTTTTTTTAAATAGTTGTGGATAATTAATTACATAGTTACATTTAAGTATTGAATAAAAATCACCAATTTACCAATCTAATTAATGGCTTAAGCAGTTTAAATGTATTATGAAGCACCTTATCATTGTCAAGGTGAAGAGTCCAAATATGTGAACCATCTTTTAGAATCTGACAATGGACTGGAAGAAACTATTTAAAGACGTTAAATTGCACACATTGGGATTTAGGAATAGAGTTACGTAATTTTGCACATTTTGCACTTAAGCACAGTATAGATTCAATGGACCACTTCAGGGTGGTCATCTGCCAAAAGTCCAAAACTCCAAATAATAAACTCCAGTATCATGTCCAGCCAAAGAAAGCAGATTTTGTTTGAATCAAGCAGATTAAGTTTGAATCACACCTCTATTTGTCTGCGTGTTCTAGCCACATCCAAAGGACATGTAGCACCAGCAGCTAGGCTTCCAGCCACAAACCCAGAAGCAAAATTTGACCCAAGAATAGTGATGGCACTTGCTTCATCTCCCGTTAAAGTACTAAGTCTCCTCCTCATCTATTGTGTGAAGGTACCCATTAGCAACAATAATTAGAGCAACAAAACAAAACACTTTCAGCAGTACAGAACAAAAAGAATAAGATCATACAGGTTCAAGGGTTGACCAGCAGATTGCTGAAAAGGGTACATCACGAGCAAGTTGTGCTCCAAGGCCTGTCCAGAGAACGCGGTAACTTTGCACTGTCAAAGGAAAGTAGTGAACATATGTCAGATACTTAAATAGGCATTAAGATAAGCCCGAGGAAGGGAAAAAAAAAACTTTAAAGGACTAAAAAATAACGATTGAAGACTGCAAAAAGAGACTGCATTGGTTACATAACAGCCAGGATGAACTTACACTTGCTTTGAGAGGATGCATTTTTGGCATTTGAAACAACCCCAATTAAGGTCTTCAATACACCAGGAGGCTTCTTCCCAGTCTCCTTGAATGCCTACAATAAAGAGAGAAAAAATTCAGATTTGAGAGGGCCAAAACAGCATATTTACAGTGATTCACCCAACAAAGTTAATTAAAAAAAAAATAGTAAAAACAGTAGTGCATCCCTAATCTAGCAAAACAGGAAAGGATAAGCACCTGCATTCGTGTTCGTGCAAGTTCAATTGGATAGCATGTGGTACAAGCTAAGGAGCGTGCTAAAGCACCGGCAACAAATGGGACATATGGCTCTACACTTGGAACATTATCAGCTGCAAATTCTTCCATACGGATGCGGAATACATCATAAAAGGGAAGATAAATTCCCACCTGTTGTGACACACAGCAGAGCTTACCTTGTCAAACCTAAAACTTAAGTGGGTAAAATTGAGATCACATTTATCTACAAGAAGCTCACCATCGGTATAGCCAGTGCCAAACCAGCATTTGTTCCTCTCCATAGTCTAGTAACTCCTTCCTGCACAGCGACTAAAGTTAAAAACCACCCTAACATAGAAAGAAAATAAAATGAACACAAAGTAAAGCTAAAGTATACAACTAACAATGGTGTGGACCTTATAGAATTGTGATCGCAGGTAATAGATTCACTGCTGAATAACATAGACGGATCAAGAGAACACAGACAGTTATAAATTTCCAACATTTAGAACTCTAGCACAAATACCCACAAAACCTTGGGCAGACAGATCAAACACAAACAGCAGAAAGGTTTAAATGTACAAAAGGGAGCCTACAGGGATGTACAATCACAACAAATTGAATTGTCAACATAGGTGTGTTATCAGCCCCTTTTTTGCTGTATTGCTTTGTTGGGTCAATGGATGTAAGATATATAACCCCCTTGAGTAGAAATAAGGAGCTAACCACACTAACCTGTTGGACAATTTTGCACAAAACATCCAGAGTTCCTTTGTATTGAAAACAATCAGGTGGACACATCGATACCGTTCCCTGAATGCCAGCTCGTGCACATGACGGGGAACACCTTAAATCTGCAAACAACTGCAATCAATAATAAAGACAGGATAAGTAAAGAATGAATGTTATATATAAACATTCCATCCAATAGCACTGGTTTAGTCTTTAATAGTAAAAAAAAATATACCATATTTGGTCCAAAAACTGCCATGCGACTAAGGGCATTACTTAATGGATGTGCATATTGAGCTCCTGCAGCTTGTGCTTGCAACCTTGTCTGCCATAGATGAGAGATGCAGATGAGTATTATTTACACGGACTAAAACCCAGTATATACAATAAACTCCTTAGATCACCAAATTCATTTGACCATTATTAAAATATAAAAGTTGTATGGGGTGGCCAAAATCAACGGCAGATAAGCTAAGAGGCTGGCAAATCCTCTCCCAAGCCATCAATCTAAATCAGAGTATCAGACACAGTCCGCACAACTAAGCAATATTAGCATAATACATGCCAACCACCTTCACGTAAGGCATAAAGAGGCTGTTACATGTAATGTGTTTTGTTGCACTTGGGCCATTATAACCTCCAAAACCAGTCACTAGATGCACTCTCTGACAGTCGTCCCTCAAGGCCCTATTCAACGGAAAATAACTTAAGTATCACAAGGAATTTTATCAGTGAGGCCAATAATTTTCTACTTCTGTAAACCATAATCCAGCATCTTGACTTAATGACTTGTGAAGCATACATTCTCACTTCTAATTGTTATCCAAAACAAAGGTAAATCTACACCATACCCAAAGCATGGAGAGTACTTCAACAGCTTTGGAGCAACATGCCAAAATGAACACTAAACTGTAGTCCAGCCAAGTTGCCAAACTACATGGCATATCCTACATGAATAACTAAAATGAAATGCAGCAACTGCTACCCTAGAGGCATATAATGTACCTTAGTCACTTACATCTGTACATTTCCTCCCTATGCCTAGCCAAAAGCGAAATTCATACTAGGTTATCGTTGTTTCCGTTGCAAAGTCCTACTTACGAAATTGGCAGTCTCTTATAACACACAATACCAATAGAAATCACCATTCAAACCAATCCTCTACCCCCAAAAAAAATTCAGCAAACCAACACATGAACACCCACTTATATCAATTAGCATAAGAATAACTATAGATAACCAGTAATCTAATTATCCCAAACAATGCATATTCTTACAACAATATAGCTCAAAACCTCAAATTAACTGAAACTAACACAAACCTTGGCAACATCAAGAGGATTAACAATGACAGCAGAAAGAAAGGCAGCACCAGCAGCAGAAAGCGCATTTGCAGCCAAATTAGTAGATCTTGTATCACTTGAACATTTCTTCTTTGACTGATTTTGAGGTACAGATTGAGATTGTGGCTTCAATAACCCATGAATCATATGTTCAGACATAACAAATGCATTAATTTCTTCACTCAAAAACCCATTATTATCTTCACATGATTCCTCAGACCTCATCCACGGCTTATTATTGATGTGTGTTTCTTCAGATTCCACCATATTTTTCTCCACTTTTTTCTCCCTACAACCCCAAAATAAAACCCCAAAAAAAAAAACAAATGGGTCACTCTAAATTAACGAGAATTTGATACCCAGAAACCAAAAACTCAATAAAAATAAAGAACAACGGAATTAAAGTAACAGAATATTGAAAAGGGGCAAACTTTATAGCAAAATATAAGAAAGAATATATGCGAATATTGGGAAAGGATCATAAACACGTAATAACAATCTAACAATATTATTAAGAATTAACATGAATTTCATGAAATGAGAGAGAAATTACCAGAAACAGGAGAGAGAAAGAGAAGCGAAAAACCTTGAAGAAGGGTCTAGGGTAGCCGCGCAAAGGTGGTGTTTTTTTCAACTATTACAGTGTTGGGCTCCGGCAAATTGCTTCTTTTTTATTTTGTTTTTTTATTTTGTTGTTTTATTTTGGTTCTCCTATTTTTTTTTGGTGAAAAGTCAATTTTATTTGGTTCCTTTCAAAGTCAAAATTTCTCAAAGAAAAATTTGGTGTAGATGAAATTGGAATTATATATGGTCCAAGGTGGAAGGTTTATCAATGTAGACCTTAAATATTAAAGAGATTTACTATTAATTAAGGATAATTAAGGTATATGTATGGTTAATAATTAATATATCACGGTATAAAAAATGTATCACTAACATCTTTAATGTTGCATTTAAGATTATAATATATTCTTAATTTATTATGTCTTTGTTATTCCTTAATGTATTTCTAATATTAAAACATATTCGAATTGTGTTTAGAATTGTATAATGATAATAGACCGAATTCAAAATCGAATCGATTGAAATCTTTTCAAATCAATGGATTTCTCAGCAATCAAATTTAGCAACATATCAGATTGTGATGACTTATAGAGAAACCGAATATATTGATTAGTTTGCCACCTTGAAATCCTTGATTTACAAGCAAATTTTTGGAAAGCCGTGATTAATTTAGTTTTCTTAACACTTCATACTTCGTATGTAGTTATTGTACATTACTAGTAATGACTTGATCATATTAAATCATCTTGTTTATTCCCCCACCTAAAATCTTAAAATATCCCTTGATGAGAGAGCTTAAGAGCTCTCACCCAAAAATATGTGTATCACTTATTAAAATGGTTAAAAACTTAAACGTTGCTTGTGAATTTGATTAATGTGTATATATATGGCTATACGATTTATATCTTGTAGCGATAATGCTAAAAGTTAGCAATAGCAATTTCAAATTTTTACACTTTTGCTTACTTTTACTCAATAATAATGCTAAGCTATCAACACAATGTCGATATAAGAGCAAGATATTCCAAAAACTTGGTAGAATAATTGCATTATAGCATGGCAAAGAGGGAAGTTATGTTTGATCTTATCTATGATGTGAATGGGCAAGCAAAAGAGGACCTGTAAAAGTTAGCAATACGTGTAACCCATTTTTAGGATTTTGGGTTTTGAGGTGGACATTCAATATTATAGCTACGTACGTACGTGTGAACTGCCATGATCCAATCAAGTTATTTATTAGAAACAAAATCATGACGTACCAATTAATATCAAGGCATTGATATGCTTCTATTTAGGCTGACGGCTGCCATTACGCCATGTTCACCTTTTAAAATGTCACATAATCCACCAATATTATTATTTTATGAATAATTATTATACATGTAATGCAATTTAAGCATTTCTGACTTCTAATATAAGATATGTTTTATATTAATCTTAGCTTCAAAATTGTGATGGAGAATGGAGTTGTAGAAATGCAAAATGTGTGCTGTTATTATATGTAACATAATGTTAAATAGTTATTATTAATATAAAATTTTATAAATTCTCATTAATATATATCTACACACATTAAAAAGTGGAAGCTTGGTTAAACATGGGAGGCATAGTAATCTGAATCTTGAGTCAATGAAGAAACACTATTAAATTCTCTTAATATATAATTGAATACAATTATAACCATGAGAGCTATTGTTAGATTTGTCTCAATGTATATTTTTGTGGTATCATTTTTTTTATACTACCTTCGATTTTTTTTTAGTTGCAACTTTGGGGTATTATTTGAATGATATAAGATATTTCAAAGTTGCAACTAAAAAAAATGAGGTAGTATTTTTGTTTATACATTAAATAAAGATATTTTTCCTAAAAAAAAGTAAAATTAAAGATATTAATGATCAAATGTATACTTTGAAGAGCACTCAAATCAAAACAGGATTTTTTTATGAAATTAATGCATTGACAAGTGTATCAAATTTTATTGTGTTGTTGTCTGTAAAACTAATATAGACCGATGCCGAAAACAATAATTAGTACTTCGTACAAAGTAAAATAGAAGCAAAATCTTAGACCGTATGAACATTTTATATATTTTTTTTTTTTGACAAAAATGAACATTTTATTTGACAACCAAGGCAAACAAGCATTTGAGAGAAGAGACTAAAAGTGAAATGCAGGGAAAAAACGATGAGACAGCCCATGCACACTCAAATACTGATCCATGCCCAATGAGCACGTTGGCCTTTTGTTTAAAAATACACTCCTAATTAAAGCCCAATTTCCTTTCTATAAGAAAAAGCCCAAAAATTTAATCTGGTCCATTTAGAGTTGAATTCTACCACAATTGTTTTCTTTTATAAGATCACTACCGACATGGTAACCTGGTAGAGTTGAATTCTACCACAATTGTTTTCTTTTATAAGATCACTACCGACATGGTAACCTGGTAATGGCATGTTCTCTTCAGCTGAGTTCAGTTCAGTTCAGTTCAGTTTGGTTCAGTTCATTTCAGCTCCAATAAGTACAGTTCAATTTAGATCTTAATATCTTTCTCTCATAAAATGTTCAGTTTAGTTTAGTTTAGTTTAGCTCTAGTAAGTTCTGTTCAGGTTAATTCAGTCAATCAGAAGAGACCCTAAGTAAACTTCGACTCTTATTGAAAATTTATCCTCTCGTCTAATTTCTACATATCAACGCTTATAACTTTTGTTTATTGTTAATCAAGGAAATTGATGGTAAATGCAATGTAAAGTTACAGTATGAAACGGGGCAGCTAATCATATAATAAGAACACGGTGAAAATTTACAATGTAAAGTAAATTGAAATAAGAATATGTAGTAAAGACTATAGAGTATATAAAAAGTATTGAATAAACAACGGAAATCATTGCAATTAATAAGAAAAGAAAGGGCTTTTTAAAAAAGAATTAGATTAATCAACATACTAGCTTCGTAGTTAAGATGAGCCATTATGCCGCTTTATTAACTTAACCTTCCAAAACATGGGAATGAAAATAGTATCAAGCATACTTATAAGGGAAATATAGGCATTTACTTGGAGAGGCTATTATGTACACCCAGGTGGTCGGGTGTACTATACACCAAGAGCCATTTATGCTTATTCAATTAACAAATAATTGGTACACGTGGGTCTACATAACAAATTCTAACTTCTATGAGTCTATGTCCAAGTTAAGACCAATCACACCATTCACACGTCTTCTCATAGTCGTGCTTCTTGTAAGCTATCGTTCTTTAACATAATCGCTTTCGCATCCGTAGTACTCGCAACTCATCTACAACGAACACAAGGACCCCCACGCTACTCAATACTAATTGTACGTTGCCGTAAGCACCTCGTATACCGACCCCTAATCCAACCCCGTCATCGCCAAGAAAAAGGTTTTCCAATTTCCAATGTTCTCTCTTTTTCTTACCTTTATACTTAAAAAATTAAATCGCCGCCAAAAGCACACCCTATCCATCCACGTACACATTCACCTTAATAATGAAATTAGCTTCGGGTGGTTACTTCATTGATGGACGTATGATCGATGGATGAACATCAAGCCTCAGCTCATTAGCAAGAAAAACGAACTATATACGAAAATTAAGGAAATGCTTATTAACATGGCAAGTTTAATTAGGTTTCTAATCGTGCATTAGGAGAGCATGTTAGGATGTATTTAGGATGATTGCCTTAACTAAGAAGCACCCATTCACAAATAAAGATATTCTATTTTAAGGAGTAGGAAATTCTAATAATTATATATATGGATTTTGTTCAAATAATTTATATTGACCGAATAATGTTCAAAACCTTATCCGTTATCCATACTTTTGGAGGTACCTTACCAATGTACCATATATTATCCTCCTCAAAATGGATTAATAAATCAATATATATTATATTAATTAATAGATCGAGAAGACGAGAATACCTAAAAGTATTAAAGCAATTACAAAATGCATAGTACGTATTATTCATATAGATTAAATAGATCGAGGATACCTAAAAGTATTATTATAATTGTATTATAAAATGTTATTTATATAGGGTAAATCATATCATTACGTATGGTAGCAAGCACAAGCTTTTTTCAACTGTTTTTGTTTTTTTTTTTTTTAATAAAAAATAATAATTCATGCAATAGTATCCATAGGATCCTTTATTATATACGTAGTAATATTTATCAATTTATGAATATGTATATTGTATATACCTATATATATTGGCATTATATCATCAGTTGAAATTAAAGTTTGCAAAGAAATGGGTAAGAAATTTTTTGTTAAGATCAGAAATGAGCATGCATAATAAATATCTGCAGAAAATAAAGTTTGTTAAGAAATGGGTGATAAATTTTTTTTCCAGCATATATGCTTTGGTAAGGAATGATGATAAGTACGTAGTAGAAAAGAAAGAGCCTAGCATGAAAGAGAAGAGTATGTCAAGATAGCCAAGGAGACTGCCTGACTAGCCCTTTTGAAAGCTCCAATTAATCAAATTTATATGTTCGCGCTTTGTTCTCTTCATCTCATTTAGAAACGTTTTAGTAAAAATAAAAAGAATTTCTGTTAAATGAACAAGTCAAGTTTTGTATAGCAACAATAATACGGAGTATGTAAATTTCAAGAATTTATTTTTCCAAAAAATGACTTTAATTAAGCAAAAGTTTATAACATACGGTAATACCTTAATTAAGTTCAAAAACCGTCAAAAAAAAAAAGTTCAAAAATTTAATTTGTTTAAAAAAAAAGTTCAAAAATATAACGACTGCTTTGGCAAAAAAATTTCAACAAATAAATAAAATTTTGTAAAATTGAGTTAAGAAAAAATAATTAAAATTCATCAAAAAAAATCTTTAATATGTAGTAAAAGATGAGATGAAGAGAACAGAACCGTAATAATTAGATAATAAACCTTCGCAAAAAGAAGCAGGCAAGTCATCCTTGGCTACTAAACCATGACTCTTAACCCTTCATGTAAGGCCCTCCTTTTCTTAGAAAGGCAACTCATAATTCTATTTATGAAATGCCCCTAAATATTTTTTTGTTGGTGCAAAAAATGCCCCTAAAATCCTAAATATTTGGATGCACTCTAATGCCTTGAATTTGCCTAGTATATATAGCCACTGAAAAATACTATAGTGTATGTCAGATTTGCCGTTGCCCATAATTTTTAGGCCCATTCTTCAATAATATCTTCCTCCACGGCTCCACCCATATCTTCTTGAATCTTATGCTCTTTTACCCTAAATTTTAGCATTGTCCCCCTCTTTAATAATCTAATTCCTTTATTTTTCTTAAAATTATTTATATTTAGACGGT